TGCAACTAGTATATTACTGTAATTACTCGAGAGAGATTTACGGTAAGATGAGCGTTCATGATTAATAGAGATGTATTGGTAAATTTGTATGAGCATAAACAGAAGGGATTCTTTCAATAGGGGAAATCATTGCCTTAACTTCTTCTCATTATTGTTTACAACCTTAGCATTTTAATTTACAGCTGTTTGATTTACTTGCAATCGTAGTTAGTAAAGCAACCTTCAACTGTGATTCAAACATCTGGAAAACTGGTTCTGAAGAGTTTAGTGGGTCTAAAGATAGTGATTGATAGGTTAACTCTCTGTGGATTCGACCCTGGGCGTAATACTCGGGTTATATTTGCAACGTCCGCAGAGTCCTTTTTTCGAGGGCATAGTTGGGCGTGATCAGTAAACAACCTCGGAACGGGAATTTGATGGTCCCAATAGGTTCATATTATGATTTTGGACTTGGGAGTATGTTCGGATCGGGTTTCGGATGACCAAGGAGCGTTTCAGCGCTTAATATTGATAGTTGGTGCAATGAAGGTTTTCAAGTTCTCTAAATTTGGCTTGAAGTAGGATTTGGTGTTATCGAGATCCGTTTGGGATTCTGAGCCAGGGAATAGTTTTGTATGGTAATTTGTGACTTGCACGCAAAGTTTGGTGTCATTCCGAGTAGTCTAAGTATGATTCGGCGCGTTCGGAGCAAGTTGAAAACTTGAACTTCATAATTTGATTCAATTTGGTTTTGGGGTGCGATTCTTAGTTTCGATGTTGTTTTACATGTTCCGATGGTTCGAGCATGTCCGTATTATATTTTTGGGCTTGTTGGTGCAGTTGGACGAGTCCAGGGTGGCTCGGGTGTGTTTCGGACTGCCCGGAGCTAAGTCTAAAACTGTTGCATTGCTGGTTCTAGTTTCCTTTTAGGGTGATTTGTTCTTCGCGTTCGCAATCAAGCGGTCGCATTCGCGAAGGTTTGATGTCCTAGGCCTATGCGTTCGCGAAAGCTCTTTCGCGTTCGCGTAGAAGAAAGGGACCTGGGAGTGGTCAACACCCATTACCCTTGGCATTCGCGAAGGTGTAGTCACGTTCGCGATGCTCAGGTGGGACAAGCCTTCGCGATCGCGAGATTGCCCTCGCATTCACGCTGAATGTTTCCTGGGCTTGTGGGAGATTTGCCTTTGCGATCGCGAGGCTCCTGCCGCGATCGCAAAGAAGGATTTTATTATAAACGGGACTTAGGCCATTTTGGTTAATTTATTTCACTTCTTGGACGATTTTAGAGCTCTTTGAAGAGGGGTTTTCACCTAGCTCTTTAAGGTAAGTAATTTCTATAAAAGATGAGTTTAATACATAGATATGGGTAGATTTTAACATGAAAAATTGTGGAAATTGTGTGTTTAGTTGAAAAATCTAGGTTTTGACAAAAATGGGATTTAACCACGAAAATGATTATGGAATTGGGCGAAAATTATATATTTGAGTTCGTGAGGTTATGGGTAACATTTATTTTCGAAAATTTTCGGAATCGGCCCGAGGGTGAATTTTAGAAATCTTCTAATTTGGGATGGGTGATTACAATAATAGCTAAATTATTAACTTTTGAGTGTATATTGACTAATTTATATAATATTTGGTTAGCTTCGGATTGTTCGGCACCAAGTTGAGTCCTTAGAGTGAATTTGTGGGCCGGAAAGTGAGCTTTGAGACGAGGTAAGTCTCTTGCCTGACCTTGTAAGAGGGAATTTACCCCATAGTTGTTTTAAATTACTATTTGCTTCTAATTGTGGGGCTAGGCACGCACGAGGTGACGTGAGTCCGTGCGTAGCTACTAATTATGCTTAAGTCTGGGTAGTTTAGGACCCAAATCATGAAATACTTGTAATATTTGCACTCTACTTGTTAATTTAAGTGTCTTAATTACATTGAAATTTGATAAAGGATTCGTAAAGACTGAATTTCACTTACTTGAGTTTTGGCGGGTTACTTGACCGTTAATAGAAATTGTGCTTCTGTATGTATTAGTCTTGTAATAGCATTTAAATCAGATGATCATAGAGTATTCCCTCTTCATGTGAAGCGGGCCGAACTCATCGGCAGTATAATAGATGCATCTATGGTTCGTGCCACTCGACCCCCGGTAATGTACACATTATTCTGGATCGGGCCGTACGACCTCGGCATAAATAATGCTTGTTAAATGCTTGGAGCCCGAATACACTTGATATTATTTTTATGAATTGAGAGGTTATAATTTATTTATTTGGCCCGAAATTTATTTGAAATTAGTATGTGTTAGTTGAAGACTTTTGAACTATTACTCAAAGAATCACTTATTTACTGCCTGCTATTGTGTTATTATTATTATTCACATATTCTATTCCTATTTAGCATTCCTGTATTTTATTGTTGGCCCATAGTAAATGTCGATGTCAACTCCTCGTCACTACTTCTGCGAGGTTAGACTGGATACTTACCAGGTATATGTTGTTCATGTACTCACGCTACATTTCTGCACTAATCGTGCAGGATCTAAGGCAGGTGCATCTGGCAATCATTCCGACGCGCACCCCCATTACCCCGAGGCTTAGCGGTGAACTACTTCCTGAGTCTGTTCTTCAGCACCCGGAGTCTCTCTTTTGCATTTACTTTCTGTCTACTCTATTTAGACAGTAGTTAGTGTTTTGTATATTCTACTAATTTCTTATACACTTGTGACACCGGTCTTGGAAATATGCTAGTAGACATTTGATGATTTTTGGGTATTTATATCACTGTACTTGTTCCTTTACGAGCTTATGCTTACTTTATTAAATTTTCCACTTCTTAATTACCTACTAAATGCAAATCAAGTATTTTGAAATTAATAAAAGGAATAGATACATGGTTAATTCATCGTTGGTTGGCCTAGCGGTGACGTTGGGCGCCATTAGGCCTATAGGAGAAATTGGATTGTAACATACTTTGTGACACCCTGATTTTGGGGACTTCCGTATTGTGTTTTGACTTTCTATGTAGTTGATGAGAGCTTTAATTATTTAAACACGTTTTAGTTCATTTTTCATTTAAAAGTGTTGGAAATGTTTTGAGGTGTCGGCTTGCCTAGTACCACGTTAGGCGCCATCACGACAGACTAAGTTTTGGTCTTGACACATTTTTTTTTAATTTCTTACTATTGAAACAAATTTTAAGGAGAGAGAAACACTAAGTTTCTTCTCCATTTTTTCTCCAACTCTTTTGGCCGCCACTCTCCGTTGAAGCACCAAACTTCAACCTTTTTTGTGTGTGTTTATTTTTAGAGAAGGGAGAAGCCATAGCCTCTTTAACCTCCTTCTTCTTAGTCAATACCTCCATTAATGGAGCACCAAGCTCCATCTATGCTTGATGTAAAAAGAAGGGACCTGCTAATGGAGAAGCCACTTCTCCGTTTTTGGCCATGGTTTCTTCACTGGTGGCGCTCCTTAGCGGAGCTATTTGGACCGTTGATGGTCAGCCGCATCTCAGACGATAACTAGGGCGAGGGATGATCGGAGATTTTTTATTTCCAGTTTTGAAAAGAAAAACAGAGTATCTTCTTGATAAAAAAATTAAACACTGATTTAAAACTTCAATTCAAACTAGCGCATGAACTTTATTTACCCAATTGCACACAAATTAAAAAAAAAATATATATATAGATTCAAATTCACATAGAAAAAGAACTGATATCTATGTTTTTTTTTATCAGATTCGAAACTTGATTTCATTGGACTGATAAAAAAATATCATACAACAGATTAATCAATCAATTGCACAGAAAATGTACAAAAAAGTACAAGCACGTAGTTTCTAGATTCATAATAAAATTTAGAACAGTTCTATAATTTTTCGGACCAGAAAATCAGCCTATGGCTCTGATATCAATGAGGGATAACGCGTTAAATCTAAACACATTAGATTGTGCGTAAATCATATACAGAGAACTTACTTGTTCTTCGTAACGGAAGCGAAAATGGATTAACCGCCACTGGGATTACTGGTCGATAGTAATTGTCACAGTGGAATGTATTGCGTAGATCATCATTGTACTAGAAGAGATCTTTCTTTTCCTAGCATCTTGAGTAAAATGTTTATTGGTTGAACTCTGATATCATAGGCAAAGATGATGATTTAAAGAACTACTAAGTAGAAATGTAGAATATGTACTCAATATCATATTTCTTGACGGTTTGAAACATGTGAGGTATCAGTTTGGACATGTCCTTCTTGTCTCAATAAAACATTCTGTAGGGGCTTCCTCAAAAACCTTATTTCATTAAGCACTTTTTCAAGCCTTTTTTGCCCTCAACCAAATCCAATTTAACACTATCCATGCTCCTATTGAGAGTATGATTAGTGCAAAAAAAAAAAAAAAAAGAATTTATTCGATGAAAAATATCCATTTTTCTCGGTTCTTATAAATGAATTAATTTTCATAAACATATTTATTGGAGACGCCCTTTTTCCTAGAGCTTTACGATTATTCTTGTCAACTTGACATTGTTGTTAATGGAGCTAGTTGCAGTTATTTTTGTCAACTTGATCAAGTACATCTAAAGATATTTAATTTTCTTAGTAATAAAAGATCTATGCATGTTGTATGACGAAAGTTGGGTATTTAGTAAACTAGTCTTTTGCTTTTCATGATATTTATAAAGAATTAAAATGTGACATCGCTGGTTTGTCCTCTTCAAGTTGAAAATTTGTCCTTTATCAACCGTGAATATTCTCTTGACACTTTGTTGATTCTTGCAGTTCTGGGCAATTGCAAAAGGCATTTTTAAACAAAAGGGAAGATATGTTCTCCCAATCTAGTTGTTTCAATAGTTCTTCTACTATGTGCTTATTCCATTATAATCCCACAAGTAGAGTATGAGGAGGGTAGTGTGTACGCAGACCTTACCCTACCTAGAGAGGTAGAGAAGCTGTTTCCGATACCCTCGGCTCAAGAAAAGGTAAAGAAGAAGAAGAAGGAAAATGGGGAGAAAAAGAGAAGCCGAAAAAGAAAATGCACGTCCCCTAAATTATACGTATGATAAGAAGTAGGACAAGTGCCTAAACTAGAGTAGAGTGGAATAATCAATATAGCATGTAACTAGCATATCGAAATACATAGGTGTATGCTGCAACACTGAAAGTTATATTGATGACTATATATAAAAACATCAGGTCAAATTAATATGCTGTCAAACTAGTAGAGGAACTTAATTCCTCGAATAGCATATTCTCACAGGACTTGATTTGTCATCAAACTACAGCCTGTGCATTATTAGGGGAGCACCATATTTGGGTTTCAAAGTGACCATAGTGTATGGAGAGTGTGTATAAGATGGAGAGAGCTCGAAGGAGAAGCGTTGTAGAATCATAGTTATAGCCATTTTTGCTTCCAAAATCGCAAAGTTCTGTCCAATGCATTTTCGTGGTCCTGCACCAAATGGAAAATATGTCATTTGTCCCTTTGTTGCCTTTGCTACCCCTTCGCTAAATCTCTCCGGATTGAACTCCTCTGCATCTTCACCCCAAATTTCCTTGTCATGATGCAATAAGATTGTTGGTATAAAGAGCAGTGCACCCTTTGGTAAATCTAGTTCCCCTAATTTTGTTTCTTCATTAGTCCTTCGAGTACGAGTTGCTATTGGTGGATATAACCTTAAAGACTCGTACAAAATCATCGTCACCTGAGAAATAAAATACATTGTAAATATTATTATCAGGGGTGTTCTTTTTCATTGAAGTTCTATCTACATTGTGAACAAACTAAAATGTATGAACATTAACCTGCAATCTTTCTACAAATGTTGTTGATGGAAGCTAACAGATGTCTTGAATTTAGTCATGAGATATACTGGTTAAAACATATAAAAATGTAGTACTACTGGTTTTTACTGTTGCCATTTTCAAATTTTAACTAACAACTCATGAGATGACCTTATGATTTACTCCCTCCGTCACTTTTACTTGACACGTTTTGACTTTTTATGCCCCTTAAGAAAGTGCATCATTTACCATGATACCCATATTAATTGATGTATATTTTATTAGATTTGAGAAAATAATTTAAAATGAGCAATAAATACTGTGATGTAACAGGAAACTTTTTTGTCTTCTCTTGATATGCGTAAAGTGACAAGTAAAAATGAAAATCTATTTTTAGTATACTGCCAAGTAAAAGTGAACGGAGAAAGTAGCTTCTAGCTGAGATAATGCATCTAAGAAATTAAAATATATGGTATAACTTTGTCTTCTATGTTTTCTTCTCTTAGCACAAGTTACATAGTTCCTCGATCTCATTTTATATGACATTCTTTCTTTTTCAGTTTGTTTATAGAGAAATAATACATTTTTATATTTAGAAACCTTTAAACTTCTTATTTTATACTTAACAATATGCTATTATAGAATTGTCATGGCATATCTCTAAGACCACAAGTTCTAATATAACGTCCTTATTTTTTTCTTAAATCCTATTCCAGAAGAACACCGGCATATAAAATGGAACTGCGAGAGTAACAGGCATGAAATCACTTACAATTTTCAAGCGATATAATTCGTCAAAAGTAGGTTTATCACTTCCAAAGGCTTGGAAAACTTCCTCCCTAGCACGTTCCTGCCATTCTGGATTTCTCCCTAACAAAATCATTGTCCAAACAAGCAACACTGATGTAGTCTCTTGCCCAGCAAAATAGAATAATTTGCACTCTTCAATTACTTCTGGTATACTCATTCCAAACTTTTTGTTACCATGTTCTTCAATTTCTATAGAATTTGACTCTAATAGTATACCCAATAGGTCATCATTGAGGGCCTTGCCATTGCCTTCTTCTTTTGCCTTTAATCTGTTGTCAATTAGACGCGTAATTGTTTCTCGTACTTCCTTTTCACATTCTTTCATTCTTTTCTTCATTTTACTGGGAAAAAATCTGCAAATTAAAGGAAAAGTAAGTAAATATTAAAGGTGAAATATCTTGGTGTGCTTCAATCGTTGGAGTTTGGCTTAGAGAAATAGATTTCGGAGTGAATATAGGCAACCTACAACTACCTAGGATTATGATGGGATGGATAGAATCTCTCTAGTGTTAACTAAAGGTCTCAGGTTCGAATTCTGGAAATGAAAAGAATCACGGTAGGGAGTACTTCGCCAAAATTTCACGGTATAGCCAGTTTTCGGACTGGTCAATAAAAAATAGCCAGCGTTTACCAAGTCAATGAAAAATAGCCACCGTTTTGCTGCAATAGAGACCGGTCCAGCATAATATACTGGAGTTCGGTGCACTTGTGTATGAACTCCAGCATATTATGCTGGACCGGTATACTTTGCTGGCTCCAGTATAATATACTAGAGACTGGAGCACTGGTGCTCCAAACTCCAGTATATTATACTGGACCATTATACTTGCTGGAACTCCAGTATATTATGCTGGAGTTCTAGTGTATTTATGCTGAAACTCCATCATATTATGCTGGAGTTCCAGCATACTATCCTGGAACTCCAGTATAGTATGCTGGAGTTCAAGTATACTTATGCTGGAACTCTAGCATAATATACTGGAGTATTTTCTGGGTTTTGAACAGTGTTTTTGCTCAGATTTATCTTTACATAAAAAGTGGCTAAATTTCGATTACTTTTAAAATTGGGCTATTTTTGAACGACCAGTTATAAATCTGGCTATTTTTAAAAATCACCCGAGTACTTCCCCTTAATGGACCTTAAGAAACCTGATTATTCAGGGCCCAATATGGGTTCCAAACACCAGGTGAAAAATCAAACGGAAAAAATAAATAATAGCAACCTACATAGAACGGTTGTGACAAAATACCTGCCTAAAATCAGTTATGACATTAAGATATATTGTAATTAAGTATATAAAAGTGTATTTTCTGTAATAGATTAGACTTAAAATGATCACACAATTTAATATGATATCGAAGCAAAGCAGGGTCTTGCATTCAAATCTCATTGTCATAAAAAATAATTATCACATTGTGGACAACGGTTGTGCACGTGACGGGCATGTTAAAACAATACTAATTAAGTAAATGAAAGTGTGTCCCTTTTAATATTTTGAACTTTTAAATGAGGTGATCGAATAATAGTTTCTTTTTAAATTTACCTCGAACCTGGGATATAAACTGAATTGAATGTCTTCATTAGATACTCAGCTTGTTCTTCTTGAAGTTCAAATATTCTTCTTCCTTCTTCATAGCTACTACCAAAGGCAGTTCGAGAAATCACATCACTGGTCATTCTTTGAAGATGAGGCCAAATATCCAACTCATTTGATTCTTTTGCTGGGATAATCTCCTCCCATTTGTTCAGCATCTCACTACAGCTCAAGTAAAATGCTGGTAGCATATGCTACTTATGACAAAAAATAATGTATATTTCATTAATAATAATGTATACTGCATTAATAATAACTTCTTCTGAAATGCATAAAGGTCTCCGCTATAGCGTATGTCACATTTGTGCTTTGATTGACATTTGCCTACCTACTAAAACATATCTCACATTTGCATCAGTGATGGGTCAAAATTTTCACTAAGAGAATTTAAAATATAACGAAGTAAACATACAAAGAATTCCATTAGGATTCAAGATATTGTGTTACACACATATATATATATATATACCTATAATTTTCTAGCAGAGGGGTGTGATTGACAAGGGTGACTCTGACCACTACTTACGTATTGTTTGGATGGTTGTTACCCATCGTATTGTATTGTATTGTTATCTCAAATACAATATTTGTTTTGATTGTTCATATAAAACTGATTGTATCGTATTGTTAAAATTCATTGTTCCGGTACAATGAAAAGCCCCATTTTATGAAACAACCAAATCGGTGTGGTGAGATTGTTCCGTATTTCTCTTTCCAATTATGCCCACACTAATTATTCTATATTTCAATTTTACCCTTTACCCTATTATTTATATTATACTTCACCCAACTACGTACTTTGTCTCCATCCTTCTGCCGTTTAATTTTTTGGTTAGTTTTCCCTCTTTTTTTTCTGTATTTTTATCTTATCTATGATCTTTGCAAACTTTTTGCTAATTTTAGTTACATATATAATTTACTTAGGCTTCTGCCATTCCAAATTACAGGAACAGAGGTCCGTTGTTCTCTGTTTTGATGGGGCTATAATTTTTTTTTTTTGTATGAAATCAGTTTGGTGCTTTCATTACTATGGTAGAATGATGATTACCTGTGAGGAAGATGGGGAGGTCAAATAAATAAATTATTTTTATGAGTAGTTCTTAATAAGCATCGTATTTAAAATAATTGAGGGTATTTTAGTAAATATAGCAGTACAGTACAATACAATACAGTCAAACCAAACAATAAAAATGTTATTTAACAACAGCAAACGATACAATCTATCCAAATATTGTATCCATCAAAACGATACAATACGGTACAGTACAATACAATACAATACATTATAAAACGATGGGTAACAGTGATCCAAACAGAGTGTCAGTGTCATGTGGGTATTAGCTTGTGTCTTCAACATGTGTGCTTTAGTTACATCTTGAGTGATATTAGTTAGAGTTACGTTAAAATGTGTGTTTCACACTGATGATTTGATTTAAAGATATGTAATATAACATTTGGGATAAATTTAAAATATATGGATAACTTGCTTTTTTAGTACATTTGCCATTTGAGGTTATTATAAGGTACCCTTTCTTATGATATCAAGGATTTCGTTTATACTGCCTCCTGTCCATAACAAGTGAGGCTGGCACACCCTTTACCAAAATTTTTATTCCTAGAAAAAGAAAGAAGGTATTTTGACTAAAATATCCATAATCAAAATTTGCATATTGTTAACTTGGCACATTGGGATATGTAAATAAGCACAAATTTTGGAAAAGCAAAGTTAATTCCTTCTTGATTATATAAAAGGTCACTTATTTTGGATCAAAATAAAAAGACAAAAAAATTACCTATTATGGACCGTAGGGAACAACTCTCTAAGAAAATGGTTTAACATTTGCAATAAAAAAGTTAGAATACTTAATAGAATAAGCAAGAAAAGAAGCTAAAATTGGCTGACCTTCAACTTCTCCATATGAAAGGCAGGATTTAAGATCTTTCTGTGTTTTGCCCATTTTTCTTCCTCGTAGCTTACAACACCTCGAGCCAATAGCTTTGTCAATGGGTTGGGATTATTAGGCTTCTGATAAACATAATTCTTAGCAAATATTTCCTTTATTAATTCTGCGTCTGTTATTAATATTGCCGCCGTTGGTCCTTGCCAAACAAAACATCTTTTACCTGCAATCATTCGAGTCAACAAATGTTTTGATAAACTGAATTTGTTTTCAAAATATTTAACGTTTTAAATTTAATATTTTTATGTTCCAATAAGTAAAATATTTAACGAGTGAGATATTTAATGGGTGATAAATGATAATATATTAAAGACATAATTAAGTAACTGAAAAGTATTTTTTAGGGAAAAATACCAGCTATGTCCATTTTTAAGTAGCTTATTACAAAAATTGGTTAATTCATAAAATATTACGTACTCATATTAGCCAATTAGTTATTTATAGCAAAAAAAAAAAGTCAAATTTTTGCTTTCTTTTGAGTGAGTGTTATTAGAATAGATTGGGTATATCTTAAGGAGCTTGAATCTCTGTTTTGGGATGGATTTAGTGGAGTTTTGAGGTGGTTTGAATTAAAAATTCGAAGTTGAAGATGAACATGAAAAAATGACATGTGTATCAGATATATATCAAATGTGTATCACATGTATATCCATGTATAACTGTGTGTGAGATACATGCGTGATACATTTGTCCCATAAGAACTTTTTGAACTCGATTTTAACTACGAATTTTGATACCAATTCAGTTCAAATCGCATCCAATCTTCCTCAAATTTTGTATGTTGACTCATCTATATATTTTCAATGAATCTCAATCATACCAATTAAAAAAATTTCTTTTTTGCTTAGATTTTTGGAATCTTGTATATTTTTTTTTTGAATTTCATCACCTTATTTGCTACCTCATCCATGAAATTTTCTTTCCGTCTTGCATTTAATGTTGCTAATCACGCTTAAAAATATGAAAGGAGATCTTTGTATGAGATTCTTGGAGAGAAAGAATCTTATTTCTTTGGATATCTAGTTTTGATAAATTTATGAATAATAACTAGAGTTTGGTAAGTTGAGACTTTTTTTGGACATTTCTATAAGATTCCCTATTTTTTATAACTTACGTCTTAAAAGTTTGCTCACATAACTCAACATGGTATCAATAGCAAGTAGGAGATCCTAGATTGGAATCTCACTACCACTCATTACCACAAAAAAGTTCAAGTGCATCGCACCTATTAAAAAACATTAGGCCCACACATGAAAAGGTATGTCGAAGGTATATTAATTAAATAAAAGTGAATTTCCACTAACAGTTTAATGTGCTAAATCAAATGATCATCTCATAATTCAATATAATTTAGAAAAATAATTTATAATTACGATGAATTATTAAAATTCAGCTATGATGCCAGAAAAATCTAAGCAGCTCGCCAACAATGAAATATGAAAACATTTAATTAAGAAAATAAGAATCTCGCTAAGTTGTACGACACAAACTTCATCTGATGTAATTTTTTTTTTTCTAAAATAAAGAAAAGTTGTCACATATAATATTGGAATCTTTTTTTAGTTCAAAGGCTAGCACCATTAGAGGAAGTTCCTTATCTCATCCCCAGTAGATAAAATTATGACACCATGTGCATTAGTATAAAAGATTTAAGGCTCTATAGTTTAGACTAAATCAAATTAACTTGCCATAGTAAATGATAAAATAAAGTGAAGAATGTACTATTTAACTATTCCCTCCGATTCATTTAAAGTGATTTTTTTGGTTTTTTTGTGGTCCACAATATTTGATTTTTTCAAATATCAAGAAGGGATTAACTTCTTTTTTCTGTTGCCCTTGGGGTAAAGAGCCTATGAGTAGTTTGTTATATTTCCAATGAACAAACTAAGGTTAATATAGTCAATTTCATTGTTAATTAATGCTAAAAAATGAATTTTTTAGTATGTGTGAAAAGAGCAAAAAAAAAAATCACTTAAAATGGGCCGGATGGAGTAATAAAATTATAAGTAAAGACACGAAAAATTTGGCATGGTCAAAAGTCTCCAATCAAAGCAAAGTTATAGTTGACTTATCTTTAATTTACCTCAAAACTCTCACTCTAAGAATCAAAGTATGACTGAAATAACTCAAAGCAAAAATCTTTAGACATACCATATTTTTGGATGATTTCAAGATAATAAGGAATAATTCTTGGGGCTACTTCATTTGATATATTACTGATGGGCTTTGAATTGATTTCCTTGAGACTTTTGGACAATTCTTTCATATCTCCATAGAATAGCCTGTAGGAATTTCCCTTGAGTCCCTGTTGTCTCAGGCAATTCTCCAGTTTCTTTGGCTTTATCCATATCCATTTCATCACTTCCCATGCTTTATATACCAAGAAAATTATCAAACAGATTGCTGCAATTTTGCTGTTGTGAGCATTTCCCATTTCATGCCATATGATGAAAGTAGAATTCATCTTGGCTTTCTTACTTCTCATCCTAAATATATAATTTATGAAGAAGAAAAAAACGAAATAGCCATCTTATTGGACTAAGATCCAGATTTGACCAGATCAAATAAGACAAAGAAAAGGAACAACAATTTCTTTATCCATTTTTATATTATATAACCCATCCGTTTGAATTATGTGACGTAGTTTACTCGGCACGGGTTAAAAAAAAAAGGAGAGTCTTGAAACTTATGGTCTAAAAAGTTTAAAGGATAAAAGCTTTGTGGGGCTATAAATATTTCTATGGTTATAAAATTTTCTCATTAAGGATAAAATGAGTAAAATAAAAAATTTCAAGTTAAATTATTTTCAAAGGTTTTCTCGTTAATCGGCCAAGTTAGAAAAATCAGCTTATTTTGAATAGTGCTTTTTTCAAAAGTGTTTATCGAAAAATTACTTTTGAAGAAAAACAGTTTGTATTTGGCTACTCAATTTGGAAAGACACTTTTGACCAACAATTTGTATTTGGCCAAACTTTTCAAAAAGTGCTTTTAAGTATCAATTACGAATAAGGACATGAAGAGATTTGCTTAATAGTTAATGTTATATAAGTAGATAAATAATCACAAATATTTGTTAGTATTAAAGATATTAAGTTTTTTTTATTTTATTTAAGTAAATGTAAAAATAAAATTGAAAAATGCTTATTCTTTCAAGATAATTTAAATATATTAAGAAATCATTCAATAAATATGAAAGCTTATCCCAAAAGTCATTATGTACTACTGTTTTATTGATTTATCAGCTAATACTCCACAATTGAGTCGACGAGCTGTTGACGTGGTTACCGGTAATCAAACCATGGATTTGCAGGAGCAGTACGAAAATCTAGCAGCTCAACAGTTAGATCTGCGAGCAGAATTGGCACAAAAATAGCAGGAACTAAGAGATGATTTGGACAAACGTCATGGTGAACTTCTGCAGATGGTGACTGCTCTCAAGCATTCCTTTGATGACCTGCAATTGAATCAACGAAAAAGGGCCAAAACTATCCCTATCGTATGCTAAATGGTTTATAAATACCCGCCGTCCATCTATCCGTCCAAAAAAATACATGACGTTAATTCTATTAACAAAAATACCCCCGCGACTAACGGCAGAATTGGTGGGTCTTTCATTTAATGACGTGATAATTTTTAACTGGGCCACGTGGCAATCTTTGACTGGATCAAAAAATAGATATTATTTCAACCCATTTACTTTATCTGACCCATTTACAAAAATGGGTGGTATCTATCACACTCATTCCCACTCATCTGACCTCCCCCTTTCTTCTCTCCAACCATAAACCCCATCTTTGGGAAATGAACATGCCAAGAACTCCTGTAGTAGTGAAGGACACGGAACTTTGGTCTTTAGGTAGGACGCACATACGGTGATGGAGTTAATCTTGTTGTAAATGGAAATTGAAACGTATTACATACATCTCTAGTATAGCTGAAGGGCGAAAATACATACACACACGGAGAACATACTATTCTTTGCAATTATGCCTGTAAACAATCTCCCGAAAAATTGCGTTGTTCTTCTTTACTTTTTCAATTCACAAACACATAGAGAACATACTTTTCTTTGCAAAATTTGCCTGTAACAATCTCTCAGAAATTGTGAAACTTTATCCTTTTGTCTCTTGGATGAACAAAGAAATATATGTCTAAAAATAAAAAAATCAAAGAAGATATCGGAAATGTTAGACCCTCCATCTTCAGCCATTATCCATGTTTTCTCTCACTTTTGCAACAAAATCACATAGACAGAGATAGCATAAGCATAAAATGGCAGTATTGACAAAAATGGCTTCTTTATTCTTGGTCAGACCAGAAGCTCAAACCCAGCTTCAATCCAAACTCAAAATGTAACCACAAGCTCGTCTCCGAACAAACCCCAGAAACCAATTTCAATAATCATCCACAGAATCGAAGGAACCCAATTCGTCTTCTTCGTCGAGAACTCGTTCGAAAAATTTCAACTCAAAACCCTAGAAAATCACTCAAATCGATCCTAATCCTTCAGATTCGGCTTCAAAATGATGTTTCCAACTAGAATCATGAACATCCAATAGAATTCGAAGCTCTAATTTTCAGATTTCAAACAAAACTTAGCTTCTTCGTTGAACTCGGCACAGACGGGTTTCAATTGTGGCCTCGAATTCAATCTTACATCTTCGAATTGAAGCTCCAAATCAGTAGTTCAAACTTAGATAATGAATATATCACAAAATTTAGAACCAAAATCGAATGGAGAACAAGGAATTGAACTTTTAGGAACAAATAGTCAAAAGCAATAGATACGATTACCTCTTTAAGACACTGATGAACAGTAATTTTGCTAAGCCCGGCACCCAAAAAATGGGTAAATGGGTTGGACCAGGTAAATGGGTAAAAATAAGACCCATATTTGATTCTTGGTTAAGGATTGCCACGTGGCCCAGTAAAAATCGCCATGTAATTAAATGAAAGACCCACCAATTCTGCCGTTAGTCGCGGGGGTATTTTTGTTAATAGAGTTAACGTCGTGTATTTTTTTGGACGGATAGATGGATGGAGGGTATTTATAAACCATTTAGCAAACGATAGGAGTAGTTTAGACCCTTTTCCGTTGAATCAACAATCAAAGGATAGTGCATCTATTTCAGCTGCTAAGGACAAAATGCTCCAATCAGGTCAGGGTATTCTAGGTCCAAATCCTTACTGTGTTAATGCTACTCGGAATCATAATCTGGTCTTTCCTCATTTCAATGGAGAGAATTTGAAGACGTGGTTGTATAGAATTGACCAGTACTTTGCTGAGGATGAAACTCCTCTCAATCAGAGAGTGAGACTAGTTGCTATGAATCTGGATAATGATGCCTTAGTTTGGCATCAATCCTATTTGGAATGTAGAAATTTACCTACACTGCCTACTTGGGATGAATATATCTCAGAATTAATTGAAACATCTAGTGAAAATTTTGCTGATCATATGCTAGAACTCAAACAATTAAGGCAAACTGGTACCGTGAGGGAATTTCAGTTTGCATTTGATAGGTTGCTAGCACAGTATAGTCTAACTGTTGAACAAGCTATTTCCTGTTTCCTGGGAGGTTCGAAGGAAGAATTGGTTCATCCTATTAAAATGCATGAACCTAAATCACTGTCCAAAACTTACAGGTTAGCTAGATTAGCAGAAACAACATTAGCTGCTAATGCTAGAGCCTTAAAGCAGACCTCAGCTGGGGGATACTCTTCAACTAGGAAGCCTGTGTATGACAGTCCAGGTCTCAAGAGTCACCAACCTACACACTCACCTAGATTGACTTCCCCTGCTAATTCTACCTCAATTGTTCCTAAAATAACGAGAACTATCTCTCCTACTGAGATGCAAAATAGAAGAGCTCAAGGTCTTTGTTACTTCTGTGATGATAAGTTTTCTCCTGGACATAAGTTCACTCTTCCAAAGCAAATGTTTGTATTAGAATTGGAAGTATCTAAGAGTGAATTCACTGATAATGGTAATAGCAACAGTGAGATTGATTCACCAAGTGAAGAGTGGTCATCTCTTGGAACTGAGTAGCCTTTCATCTCCTTGTATGCTTTAATAGGAATTCAAGGTGCTCAAACCATCCATGTTACTAGTTACAGTGACAAGAGGCCTATCCAAATTTTATTGGATGGAGGTAGAGCACATAACTTCATTGACTCTGAATCATCCAAAAGGTTGGGGTGCACTGTGATTCCAACTAAGGTGGGATATGTCAGCTTAGGTAACAACACAATGGAAGCCACTTCTGGTGTAGTTAGAAACTTCCAATGGATTCTACAAGGCACAACCTATGAATCTGACTTGATTGTGTTTCCAGTTGGGAAGTATGATTTGGTCTTGGGTGCCTTATGGATGAAGACTCTAGGCCCAGTAACTATGGATTATTCTGCTCTTACCATGACTTATAACTATTTGGGCAAATAACATATCTGATTCTTGCGGACTATCAAGCCCAAAGGCTGTCAATAAGTCTAATGGGGAAGATGTGGAACTCTTCATGATGCATGTCTTGGTTGACCAACCACAACCTCTTCAGTTGAATGCACTCCACCTCTCCAAAAATGAGGCAGTATCACAACCTCTTTATGATCTTCTCAACACTTATATGTCAGTATTTTTTGAACAAACTGCCCTGCCTCCTCAAAGAGGTGCCCTCAATCACAGGATTCCATTGCAACCTGGATCTAAACCAATCAATATTCGACCTTATAGGTATTCTTCTATGAAGAAGGACATTATTGAGAAGTTAGTGAAAGAAATGTTACAGCAAGGGGTGATCCAATACAGCAACAGTCCATTCTCATCACCTGTGATAGTGTGGGGGAAAATGATGGTTCATGGCGATTGTGTGTGGACTATAGAGAATTAAACCATTGCACAATCAAGGACAAACTTCCTATTCCCATTATAGATGACTTACTTGATGAACTATCTGGTGCCACCATTTTTTCTAAAATTGACCTTAGATCTGGGTATCACCAGATTAGAATGGTGCTTGAGGATGTCCCTAAGACTACCTTCAAGACTCACATGGGCCACTATGAATATTTGGTCATGCCAGATTGGGCTGACAAATGCACCTTCTACATTTCACTATTTGATGAATCACTTGTTCCAACCATTCTTGAGAAGATTTGTGTTGGTCTTTTTTGATGATAGAAGTTTAAAATAGTGTATAAGGGGGCAGGGGATAGTTTTAGAAAAGCAGTTTGATTTTTCGGGGGGAAACAGGTTCAAAAGACTGCAAATAGAACAGAAACCTCATTTAGTAGATTGGTTCAGGCATAGATACCAGTAATTAAACAATCACAACAAGAGCAGGGACACTTGAATTATAGATAGAACTGCCTACACATATTGTAGTACCTAAACTGAATCAAACAAAGTCTCACATTATTGAAGGTTACTTAGCTTACTAATTATTACTAGGTGGAATCAAATAGACATGTATTAAGCAGAGAAACATGCTGAAATTACCATGAACAGAGCAAGATAACAAGAACAGAACATGAACTATATGTCCAGCAAAAGCATATTG